CCCACTCCTGAAACCTCCTGATTTATCTCCTGGATTCAGACTGAGGCGGCCCACAAAAACATGACCCAGTCATTTTTTTTCACACTTTTCCTGCTGATAGGCCCTCCACAGTCCCAAATGTACATAATCAAATGATTAAACACTTGGTTTTACATAATATGTCCCCTTTAATACCTTTCCTGAAAGCTTAAAGGTTCAGAATCAGGTTTAATAGACTGTGAAATGTTCATCTCTGTTTAAACGTTTAGGTTTTCCTGATTAATCTGAAGCGCCGGCTGGACAGAAGAACCAGGATGTTGAAAACAATGGCCGCTCTGGGCCTGCAGTCCACTCTGGTGGAGGCGGTGGATGGAAAGTAGGTCACAAACCCAAAGTCCTCAGCTCAGGATGATCCCGCCTGCTAAAGTTATTCCCTCCACACTCTCTGCATGCAAACAGCTTTTATTCCTCACTCAACTTTAGCTCCTTCCCAGGGAACTGTCTACAGATCTGCCCTTTTATCCTTTTTTTTTTTTTAACAAATTTTGTATTATTTCAGAAATTATTTATATATACAGTGGGGGAAATAAGTATTTGACCCCTTGCTGATTTTGCAGGTTTGCCCACTTACAAAGAATGCAACGATCCATAACTTTAATCATATGTACAATCTAAGCAAGGGGTGAAATACTTATGTCCCCCACTGTATACATATACATATATATATATATATATTTCTGAAATAATTATATATATATATTCAGAAATAATACAGTGTGGTACGAATGTATATGTGTATTTTTACATTTTTAAACATAAAAAAACAGAACACAAACACAGGGTGATTTCAAGAGTATGAGCCAAAAAAAAACAACAAAAAACAAAACATCATTGCATAATTAGTGGAGCGACAGTTCTCCAACGTTTAGTAAATACTGGTATTTGTAGTCTCAGAGAATATATATTACCTGTTCCGTTTGGTATATGTCCCAGACCTTCTGAATCCATATATTGTAGGAAGGAGGCTCAGGTTTGAGCCGAATGATTGTTATACATTTTATAGCGGCTGTTAATAATATATTCAAAAGATATTTTTCATCTTGCGTAGTAATAGTTGTCACTTTTATCCTTTTGATCTACAGTGGGGGAAATAAGTATTTGACCCCTTTGCTGAATTTGCAGGTTTGCCCACTTACAAAGAATGCTTATTTTTCCTCATTAGATGGTCATCAATTTTTATAAATTCATATGATGTAATTTTCTGGAATTTTCTTTGGGATTCTGTCTTTCACTGTTAGAATGTACATATGATTAAAGTTATAGATCGTTGCATTCTTTGTAAGTGGGAAAACCTGCAAAATCAGCAAAGAGTCAAATACTTATTTCCCCCACTGTATATTCAAAAGATATTTCTCATCTCGTGTAGTAAAAGTTGTCACTTTTATCCTTTTGATCTATCCCGAGTGTGACTCTCGTTTCAAAGATGTCTCACAGAGCTGGATATTAAGAGTAAATGCTCACCTATTTCTGTTCCTGGTCCCTGTGTCAGGGCCCTGAACTCGTCCCAGCTCCAGGCCCTGGGGATTGAGATGATCCCGGGCTATAAAGACCCCTACTCGGGTCGGGTGCTCACCAGGGGGGAGATCGGGTGCTTCCTCAGCCACCACTCCATATGGAAAAAGGTGAAAAAAACAGGATATTGTGGATTACATCTGCACCTAGCATTGTGTTTCAAAAGGGAACTCAAACAGCATTTTCTGCTAGAGCTAATTCTGTTTTCTTTTTTTTTTCTTTTTTTTCTTTTTTTTTTATTGTATATATCTAGCTATATTTATGAGGAATTTTGTATATATATATGTATATATGTATAGACATGTACATATGTATATGCCTTTGTTTTGCTTATGGAGCCTGTAACAAAAATAATTTCCCTCTGGGATTATTAAAGTATTTCTGATTCTGATTCTGATTCTGATATAAAACTGGCACCACCAGATTTTTAGACAGTTAAATCTTCTGTTAAATCTTCTGTTAAATCTTCTGTTAAATCTTCTGTTAAATCTTCTGTTAAATCTTCTGTTAAATCTCCAACATTAACTGTGCAAAAGGTTTACTGGCCAATGCACTTTACAGGGCTCAGGACACTTTTTCTACAGAATAAAACAAACATACTTAGTACAGCTTTGAGTCAGAATAGATAAATAAAAGTGGACTGACCCGTAGATCAGAGTTATAAGACTTATTGTAAAAGCTGTTTGTGAGTCTATTACCACTCTGTGTCCCGGGTGTGTGCAGAGTTTAGTTTTATTAGCTTCAGACAGCCTTTTAGAAGCTTTTAGGACAACAATAATATGTTAATGTGGCTCATTTTAGAGGACTTTATGAGGAAAAATGATGCAGCCCCAAACTGTTGGAATATATATTTGAATTAATATTTAAATATTGAATATATTCACAACAACCTGATTAAGTTCTGTTTCATGTGTGGATTGTAAGATATGGATGAAATAACAAGCTTTTTAAATGACTTTTTTTAAAGGGACTTTTAAAAAATTCTCCTTTAAAAAAAAAACAAACATAGAAAGGGAATTAGGCCTCTGTGTCACATCATATTTATACCCCAGGGAAAACAGGAAGTCATGAATAACAAATTAAAAGTTCCTAGATACCCTGACCAACTTTAGCAACTACAGAAAAATATATTTAAAGGAATTTAATTACATATTTCAGTGGAATTGTTAGGGGTGTCAGTAATTGTGAGACACATGATTTAACGTTTTTAATTTTTCTAAATGTGTGATTTTATTTTTAGCACCAAAGTAATGTACTTAAATAAAAGGTTGGATTTTTCTTTTTTTTTGCATTTGGGTTCTATGTTGTTTTAAAAAAAAAGGAGAATTTTTAAAAGTGCTCACCCACATCTTAAACACCTAATTAATGTACTTAAATAAAAGGTTGTATTTTTCTCTTTTTTTGCATTTGGGTTCTACGTTGTTTTTTTTTAAAAAGGAGAATTTTTAGAAGTCCTCAACCATATCATAAACAGGGGTGCCAATAATTGTGGAGGGCGCTGTATAGTTAGATATACTGAACAAATGACTAATGAAAGGAAGGACAAAGGTCCTCTGAGGCAGAAAGGGTCTGGTAGTTGGACATAAGGATGTCATGTGGGTACACCTTGAATTTAATAAAAAAAATTTCCCTCTTTACCCACCAGGTGATCGAACAAGGTCTCCAGAAGGTTCTGCTTTTAGAGGACGATGTCCGGTTTGAGCCGCGGTTTAAGCGAAGGCTGCAGGCCATTATGGACGACATCGAGCGGGTCCAGCTGGACTGGGACCTCATGTAAGACGCATTCAGAGAACCTTTAGAGGGGTTTCTGCATTTAAATGCTTTATTTAGCAGTAGGGGTGTCAAAAGTATCGAAACTCAAGAAAGTGTTGATACTAAAACGTTGTATCCGGATACGAAACTCAATTATTTATTTATTTACGTTGTTTATGGTCATTAACATGACGTTAGCTTGAATTGCTAGCTGCGGCTAACGGCTAATAACAACACGCCAACATTAATCAAGATTGCAGGAAGCCAAGGATGGATATCCAACTCCCCCACATCTAAGTCGGCCATTTTAATTAGGTCACCAATAGGAAGATCCCAGGCAAGAAAATCCTAATTGCTTCATGGCAATATAGACGTTAATTTAAAAATAGTTAAATGAATCTTGCTAACACTGAATTAAACTCTATCCATAAGATTATGTTAAAATAGTGGATGTTAAATAGGTTTGTACAATAAGTCCAAACAAGTTTAACCAAAAAATATTTATTTCCCACAATTATGAAGGCTGGAGGGTTAGGGTTAGGGTTAGGGTTAGTGTTAGGGCCAGGGTTAGGTTTAGGGTTAGAGTTAGGGTTAGGGTTAGGGTTAGGGTCAAGGTTTAGGGTTAGGGTCAGGGTTAGGGTTAAGTTTAGGGTAAGGGTCAGGGTTAGGATTAGGGTTAGGGTTAGGGTTAGGGTCAGCGTTAGGTTTAGGGTTAATGTCATTAATGTGGGCCACCATAACATCAGTAACAGGTCAGTTTGAAATCAAAGACACTAACCTGTCAAAATTCAGTTAAATTTTGGGGTCTTTGTTTTTATCCTTGTGGTATCGAAAATGGTATCGAATATTTTCCTGAGTATCGGTATCTAGTTGAACATTTTAGTATCGTGACAGCCCTACTTATCAGGACAGGCGGCCTTGATGTCTGCTGTAGTACGCGGTGTGTTTTAGTCATGCTTTTTGTGTTTTCTTCGGTCAGACAACAATTATTAACAGCTATTGTCTGACCGAAGAAAACAAAAAGCATGACTAACACTGTTGAAGACCAGAAGAACTTCTTCTTCTACCTCTATCTCTATCTCACCACTGACTCTGATCAGTGTTTCTCCTCTGGATAGCTTATTGTCATAGTGATGATAAGTGGAATATTGTGTCTACTCTGTAAGTCGCTTTGGATAAAAGCGTCTGCCAAATGCATAAACATAAACATAAAGATAATAACTTAACACCAGTAATACGGTGTGTTTTTCTCTACTTTTAGCTACGTGGGGCGGAAGCGTATGCAGGTTCAGCAGCCCGAACAGTCCGTGGAGGGCGTGAACAACCTGGTGGAGGCCGATTATTCCTACTGGAC